GTGTGTGTGTGTCTTTGAATGAGCCATTATGGACTATGTTTATTTCAACTCTGTCTCTTTCTTCTTTTCTTTGCTTCCATATCCATTTCGTTCAGGCCAGATGTTTCTCTTCCTCTCTTCAGTTCAAATAGTCCCTGTCGTCTTTTTGGTTTGTCCTCCTGTGAATTTTTAGAATACTATATTATTAATATAAGATTAATCAATTGTTGTTTCTTTTCTAATACTGTTACGTCATTTCAATATTTCCATGAACTGCGATATTTCAAGTCTTGCAATTCGTGAGGGAGATGAAAAAAAGATCTAAAGAAAATATCTTATTCTTTATTCGTCATCTTTTTTACGGCTCAACAACACTTAGTTTTTCTGTTGTCTCTCTTCGACACTAAATGTAATTGTTTTCTACCTGTGAGGATTGGCTCGAGGGTGGGCGATCAGCCCATTGTTAAACCCTAAAAGTGTGGAATAGGAACAAGATAGGGAAGTATGGATAGCGCGCGGTCTACACCCTGTATTCTACAGTTCTGATCCGGAATTCGCATAGATGTGACCGGGGCAACCATGGAAATCACCGATGGGAGCATTCGGCTGAACTGATTGATTAGTTATTCCGGGCGCGGCAACTGCGAAGGTCATTAGTTCTATAAGTGTAATGTTTGTTTTTTTCCTCAGTAGGTGGCGGTGATGTTTCCCGCTGGATGAGGAGATCTAGTGTCGACCTGCCTGTCGGCTACCGGATTCCTCACCAACCAGGTATCTTCCATCAGCAGGACACCGCCACATTCGGGATAAGCTCTAAGCTCTCAAACGGTCTTCCGGCATGTGTGATAGTGTAGTGTATGTAAGTATAAAAGTTTATAAGAAGTGGGGATAGGACAAGGGAGAGGAAGGAAAAATCGCGCGGTAGGAAACCCGTTTGTCAGAGTACTGCTCTGGCATTCGCATCGTATTCATCGGAGAAACGTTGGAAAGCTACCGATCAGAGCAAGCGGCCGCTAGAATTCACCTCCAGACAGCGACTGAACTCGACCTAGCTCTCTAAATAGAGTCGAAAATCCTGACATCGTCGGGACTCGAACCTACCACCTCTCGTTGAGAGGTACTGCAGTAACATTGTTGATGCCCTGAGACACCTCTCCCGATCATGAGAGCATTCGGCCTACGAATTAAATTCCGGTAGGGGCCACAAACTCATCAATCCTAAATGCATCACGCAAATTTCCGGCACCTGGCATGGATTGAACACTCGACCTTCCAGTCACCAGACGCTCGAGCCGTACGGCGTTGCCTGAACGCGCGTTGTTGGTGATAAGATGTAGTCTAGCTTTCCCTGTTGAATGACATTGATTCTTCAGTGATAGAGGTAACGATGTTAAATTAATGGAAATGAAGAATGGCCGAATGTGTGGCAAAGAAAATAGTAAATTCTGAAGAAAATATGTGGACCTCGGTTGGTCCAAAACAAATTTCAGATACATCGACCGGGATATGAACCCATTTATCCATAGGTCCCCAAAGGTGGAGACAAACTGCAGAAAGAAAACGGCTACACAGAGTTCAGAGTTGATTCGGAAGGTCAGGAGAGCCAGAAGAATCAGCGAGATTAGGGTAGCTAGAAGGACAGAGAAGGGTTAAAAGAGACAGAAAGATCTTAGAAGTGAATGTAAATTGACTGCGTAAATTTTGATTCAAAATATAAGGTAGGTGGAAGTGGAGGAAGCGGAGGAAGCAGAAAACTATCCCCTGGCCACCAAAAACACCTCATATTAAATCGAGGAACCATCGGTGAACAAAGAGTCTTGATATCGTAGAGGCAGAAGCGACAGTGAGGAAATCGACAGGAAACTATTCACATGGAGCTCATAGAAGGGACAAAAGAATCAGGGGCGTTACAAGGGCTAAAAGGGCAATTAAAGTGATTGGCAAAAGGTTAATAGAAAAAATGATAAATAGAAGTGGAGTCGGCCAAAAAAGGAAGGGCTAGAGAAAACCAGCCCAAAATGTTTTTACCATCAGATGTTTCTCATGAGAAACCAATTTAGTTTCCGTTAATCGGGGATGTGGGAAAGCGAAATGAGTAGAGCAGGAGGAGCGAAGGGTACGAAATGGGCAGAGAAGATGATCACAGAAAGATTACAGGAGGATCAGGGGAGCCAGAAGTGCCAGAAGAACCTGAACTGCAATAGGGGCGTGATTGAGTAAATGAATAAAAAAAATTATAGATGGAATTGGAGAAGGCTGTAAAACAAAGGGCTAGTAAAACCCGACTTTAAATCTCTCTCCACCAGAAATTCCTCATGAAAACCCACGGCACCTCCGGTAAAGGGCGATCGGGCAAGGTGAGTCGAGAAGAAGTGGAGGCAGAAGCGACGGAGAAGAAATGGGGAGAGGGGTAGCAGCGCCAGGGAGGTCATAGAAAACCGCCTCGCCCTCCGTTTTGGCGTCGCCTGCGGCGCGGTGGCGAGGGTGGCAACGAGGGAGGGGGCGGTGGCAGGGCGTGACCCAGGGACAGCGGTGATTGAAGAGCGCGACGGCGGCGGCTGCGATGAGCGATGGACGTGGGGGGGGCGTAGCGAGCGGGGCGGGGTCGCGGGGACGGTGCCCGAACGGAGACCCCGCCTTTTCTTGCCGATGCAAAGGAAGAGCCACTGACAAATTAGGAAAAAATTGCCAGCGGGGCACTCGCCCTAATCGCATTCCAACGACGGTCGCGGAAAAAAATTCGACAGCGTCAGGTTTTCGAATTTCCTTCTCGTTTAATCATACGGATCCTTTGATATGGATCTGCTATTGAGGCCAAGGGCATTTTATGCGATATTGTGAAGAGAAGACACGCTTCAAAGACATGAAAGGATCTGTGATCCGGCCGGGTTTATTTTAGAAAAAAACAATTCAGGTGACACAGTGGGTTGTTTTTGAATCTGTTTTCGTCGAAATATTTGATAACAATTAATGGTTTCATAATAAGTATAAAAATAGTAGAACACTACATTTGCATGTCTTAGTCTAACGCTTATGTAGAGTATAATGAACTTAACATTATATCAATGATGTAATGCAAGTTGATATCGTGATCACTTTTCTACTTTTATTTAAGTGGCACGATTTTAATCAGGGAGATATAGCGAATGATGTGGACGACAGAGTCAATCAGAATGCAAAGGTCTTTTCGACACCTAAACACGTAAAGTTTCCGAACCCAGGTGCGGTGTACTACATGGAGTTATTAAAAGTGATCCTAGTTTACTTCTGGAAATTATCTGCCAACTGTACAATAGATGTGTGAGGGGAGAAAGGCTGCAGAAGGACTTTAGAGGTTACATATCTAACATATATAAACTAGTGGTGCACCATCAACACATACTCTCTTGTATTATTTCTAAACTGGCAATTTTCGGAAATTCGGTTCAGGGTTCAACGAAAATTAGACTGGTTCCAATATTTGAAGCGCCCAATCTTCTATTCATGCGAAAAATTGATTGTATATCATTGCAGTTGAAAAGCAAGT